TGCTGCTGCTGCTTCTGCTGCTGCTGCTGTAGTTGCTGCTGTAGCTGCTGCTGCTGGCCTTGTTCGTTGTTGAGGTGCTGCTGGTGCTGCTGCTGTCTTGTCTTTTGTTGCTGCTGCTGTTGCTGCTGCTGCATCCCGATGCGGATTTGATGTTCCGCTTGCAACGCCTGAACCTGCTGCTGCTGTTGCTGCTGCTGTTGCTGCTGCTGCTGCTGGTTTTGCTGCTGCTGCAGCATCTCAGCACGTGTTGGGGTGTACTGACGGCTCTGCTGCTTTCGCGGTAGCTCTTGAGGCAGCCATCCTCCGTGACCTGCTGCTGCTGTTGCTGCTACTGTTGCTGCTGTTGCAGCTGATGATGCTGCTGATGCTGGATCTCCAGCTGCTGCTGCACGTGCAGCTGCTGCAGCGGAAGATGGATTGCAACCTGCTGTTGCTGCTGCTGCTGTTGCTGCTGCTGCTGTTGCTGCTGCTGCTGCTGTTGTTGCTGCTGCTGGGTTCCCAGAGCCAAGATAACGGGAACCTGAACGCCGCAGCGTCTGCTGCTGCTGCTGCTGCTGCTGCATCTGCTGCTGCATCTGCTGCTGCTGCTGCAGCAGCTTCTGCTGCTCAGCCATAGGGGCGTTCCTCGCCTGCGTAATATTCTGTGGAGTTGCTGCAGGTCCTCTTAGGTGCTTCAGCTGCTGCTTCTGTAGCTGCTGCTGCTCTAGCTGCCGCTGCTGCAGCAGTTGCTGCTGTTGCTGCTGCAGCAGCTGCTGCTGACGTGCGTGTATAAATCCTAGTTGAGGTAAGGGAGACGAAGTCCCCCCCGATGCCTGTCCAAAGTGTTGCTGCTGCTGTTGCTGCTGCTGCTGCTGCTGCTGTTGCTGTAGCAGCAGCTGCTGCTGCTGTTGCTGCTGCTGCTGCAGTTGCTGCTGCTGCTGCAGTTGCTGCTGCTGCTGCTGCAGCAGCAAACGCTGCGACTGGTTCTGCGTTTGTCTTAACTCCTCCCTCAACTGAAGATGCCGCTCTTCGACGTGCTTCTGCATCCGCCTGATTTGCTGCAGCCGCAGCTGCTGCTCCTGCTGCAGTTGCGCCCAGTGGCTTTGCTGCTGTTGCTGCGGCTGTTGCTGCTGCTGTAGTTGCGGCTGCTGTTGCTGCTGCAGCACAGCCTGGGCCGGCTGGACGGAGGAGGAAAAAGCAGCAGGAGCGAGCCCCTTAAACAGCAGCAGAGGCTGTTGCTGCTGCTGCTGCTGCTGCTGTTGCTGCTGCTGCTGTAGTTGCTGCTGCTGCTGCTGCTGATGATGATGATGCAGATTAGTTGGGAGCAGGCCCGTGTGCTGCCCTATGGGCGCAAGCATCTCTATTTGCTGAGGCTTTTGCCAGCTGTTAATGTAACTCTTATGCTGCTGCTGCTGTTGCTGCTGCTGCTGCTGCTGCTGCAGCGGGTTCTGCTGCAGCTGGAGGCGCAGTTGCTGCTGCTGCTGCTGTTGCTGCAGGAATGGCAGGGATCGGAAACCTCGTTGCTGCTCCGCGTCCATGAGGGAGAGCAGTTTGCTGCAGTAGCTGCTGCATGCATGCGCATTTGGGGTGTATATGCAGCTTGAGGTTTCTTATTTCTATGACTTGCTTGCTTCTGCTTAAGGTTTGTTTAATTCGTTTGCTGCCGGTAGCTGCTGCTGCTGCTGCTGCTGCAGTTCCCTCAGCAGCACGAAATGAATCTCCATCGAAGACGAAGAGCGCATGCAAGAGGCGCTGCTGTTGCTTCCTTGCGGTGTCGGCAGCGGCAGCAACGTTTGCTGCTGCTGCTGCTCCTGTCTGAGGCAAATGATGACTGCTAGACAGCAAGAGATAACGTGAGAAGGTTTGAGGGCTGCAAGAAATATGAAACGATGCTGCTGCTGCTGCTGTTGCTGCTGCTGCTGTTATACACACGCATGCCTTTCGGGTGTACAGGCAGCTCGTTGAGTCTGTCGTCCACGGCTTCAGCACGTTGATATTTGTGTTTGGTTTTAAATTAATTAATTAATAAATTAGTTAGTTTATATTAAATATTTAAAATATTTAAACTGCAGCACAGACACTTCATTCTAGTGGGGCTTGCTGCTGCACATTTCTCGGCAGTGCGTCGGCTCCTTTGAGGTCTTTAGATTTGTTTAATGAATAATTTGTTGTCTTTAGAATTATTTTAAATATAATTATAAATATTTATCAAAATTTATATTATATTTACAAACTCATATATCTCTCATGCAGATGTAGACCTACAGAAGACCCCCTATAACACCCGCTGCTACAGCTGTTGCTGCAGCCGTTGCTGCTGCTGTTTCTGTTGCTGCTGTTGCTGCTGCTCCTGTTGCTGCTGCTAGTCGGACTTAGAAGAGGCTCAGTTGAAGCTCTTTAGGGTAATAACTGCAGAGTAAATGATTTAAATTATTAAAAGATTAATTATTATTTAATAATTTAAATGTAGCTCCCTATACACACCAATAACGCCCATACTACCTTTACTGCAAGTACAAACACTAACAGCAAAAAACAAAAAGCTGCTGCTTCTGTTATTGTTGTTGCTGCTGCTACTGCTACTGTTGCTGTTGCTGCTGCTAATGCTGCTGCTGATGGACCCGCAGCAGCTGCGAATGATCTACGCGCGAGTAATAATAATAAATCAAAGGCAAACAAAAAAGCAGAGAGAGAGAGAGAGAGAGAGAGAGAGAGAGAGACAAAGAGAGAGACAAAGACAAGGAGACAGACAGACAAAGAGAGAGACAGACAGAGATAGAGACAGATAAACAAAGAGAAAATATATATATATATAATACATAATATGTATAGCATGTTATATACATATGTACTACTTCTTCTGTTGCACTTAATTTAAATATGAAATATGTATTAAATAATAAATAAATAAATATATATATATATGTGTGTGTATATTTATATATATTATTTATATACATAAATAATATATATATATACACACATATATATATATATATATTTATTACTTCCACTCTAAATATTTTTATTTGTATTTCTTCGTGGCTGTGTACTCCTAGCATTTAGGTATATGCAATATATATATATATATATATATATTGCA